TTTGACTACGAACTGTGCAAAATTACAGCCTTGAGTACAGTCACAAAAGTAATACCGATTCCAATTTATTGCATTCACGATCTTGACTCATTATGACCGAACCAACAATACAAGCTAGTGATCAAGTGTTAAATCCAGTAATTGTTACTCTAGTACTCTATTTGTTGTTCTCCTAATCTAATCTTCTTGCTGGGCAGATGCATCTGTCGAAACCTTTTCCTCGTATGACCTTATGACTGCGACGCTGCCCTGGGGTCGATTCTTCATCCCAGGTGAAAATGCTGAGATGGGCCAAAACCGAGCATAAATGTGTATACACAAGTATGTGGTCTGATTGAGCCAGCGTGCCTAACACCTTCTGATCTCAATCACCGATCGCTTCTCACTCGCTAGTCGACTAGAGAAATGCGATGGTTGGACTTCCCTGGCTGAGTTGGCTTTAACTGCCGTCTCTGGTCCATGCTAATTCACAATTTCTTCTTTTATTCTTCTTTCGCACTTAATTTTTGTGCTCATTCTTCTTGATTATCTTTGGATAGTATTTGGTTCTTGATATTGGTTATCTTCTGTATTGATGACCTAACTTTTAGCATGGACCGCCAGTTCGTGGAGTTCGGCCTCTGGTGGAAAACGACGTCCCCGGCGTTGTCGGGTCGGACTGGATGATGGTCTAGTAGGCCGTCTGGACGATCTCATGAAGTCGTACGAACAAGCTCTGATGTCGGGATGAAAGGTCATACGAGAATTGGTCCACAACAGTGCACCACCCGGCGGGTCCCTACTCTAAAACATTTGAAAAGAAAACAACATTAACTCTCTATTACCTTTAAACATTAGCGTAATTATAAGCATTATCCACTCTACTCCCTGCTCAAGACAACTGCGTGGAGGCATCTCAAACCAATCCACGATCAAGACTGCTTGCCTGTATCTGCAGCGTATTCTGAACGCAACCCACGAGAAAATGACTCGCTAACAATAACGTAATAATTACAACTACAATTATGATAATCTCATCTGAACCTTAAGTACATTTGCACGTCCATTTAAAGGAAGTTATTCCCATCTGCAGAACAGATGTATTGAATTCTTATAAATAAAGCCGTCTCGTGAGCTAGGAGGTAATTCTTATGGCTCTCACTTTAAAAGAAATATGAGTGTTTGAACACTGTAACTGGCTGCTATCTCTAGATTTCGAGCGAAACTTGGTCTCTAAATTTGAAATAAGTCCATTCTAGGACCGAGCAATGGTCTAGCAAACAATCTTCGCAGATTGACAAACGATTTCCTTGAAATTTTGAATAGGCAAATTTAATTCAAAAGAAGCAAGAATAACAAAAATGATAAAGGAAATGACAACAATTTTTCGGCCTTGCGGTGCCGATCTAAAATTTCTCCTAGCGCAAAGACAAGTCACATTTTGAGACAAATATCTCGTCGGAAAATGGTACTGTTTCTGCAAAGAAAACAAGATTATTAGACATCATGGTTACACAATGGTAATGGCACAACAACTCCATGGAGGAAGAAAGAAAACGAAAACAGAAGAAAAGATAAGGATCCTATTTGACCGAAATCAATACTTTTTAAACTCTTCCCCTGTACTTTAGAGTACTTCCCCTATAAATGCCTGGTAACCATAGTCTAACGTGATCTTGCAAAACGGCAAGATGAAAACAAAACCTCTCTATTTCATTCCTATCACCTAATCTAAATGCTAACGCGTGAGTGGCACTCAGGTCCATTCTGCAATTTTCTCAATTTTCTCGAAAATCTAGCAAACACTTTTACTGTTATATCTCTATACTAATTCAATCTTGAATTGACATAATTTTCCGTGAACCTACGGTGGACAACAGTTTCTCATAGAGGCTTCGTAATCGTCCGATTCAATTACCTTCTCACATCATAACGTCATTGATTCATTTTATAACCGATGAAATCCGAGTAATTCTTCCTTGAATGGCAATGATATTGTCATAGTCATTCCCAGAACTTCTCGTCTAGCCCAAAAAGTCTATTCGATAGTAATTGAAATTTTAGTCATTTTTGAACAGGCAAAGTCCGAGTTGTCCTTCCTTGAATGGCTAAAATCATTCCCAGAACTTTCCGTCTAGCCCTAACAGTCTACCAACAGCCCTTGACATTTTCATTTTCTCCTTCAACCGGTAATAGCCGAGTGTCCTTCCTTGAATGGCGTAGCAACACATTCCCAGGACTTCTCGTTCTATTTATTCCAAGATCCAAATGTTTTATTAAACCCGTACAACCGCATTTATAAAGTCACGCAGTCACCACAGTAAACCAAAGTAGCCGTAGTTGCTTTTCGGGCTCTGCAATTCTGCGCGTCTTGCACGGTATCTTCGTGTACGATTCTGCATTCAGGAATCAACAGGTCTTAACAATGGTCAGTTAACCGCAGCTAACAGCCGGCCGTAGCCATATATCATGAGTTTCATTTTCTTCTCAATATTCATATAAACCTTCATCCGGGTATCCGCCTTAGAATAGTTCTTACGTATCGTAAGAATTGAAACTATCCCGAGAGTCCCCGTCGAGCTCGAAAAGTGTGGAATACGCACACACCCGATTCATTATTTCAATTAAATATCCTCTATCAATTTAACGGAGCGCTCCTTTTAAATGAAATATATTCACACTGGTCAGAACATTACAACTCCCCGTCCTTACGCTACCTCGAACTATTTGGCCTAAATAGTCCCCTCCAAACTCTATTAAAAATACAGTTGAAAAGTTCTGATCAGCTAACCTATATTCAT